TCGCCTCCGTGGAGGATCGAACCGCGGGCCTTCCGCGTGCTCAGGAATGCGTGTGCCGAGACCTCGGTCGGGATTTCACAGGGAGAAGGCTCCCTATTGCGTTTGGAGCCCCAGCGAGGTGCTCTTTGTGTTGAGTTGTTTGTGACTATTATAGAAATTTATTTTTGGACAACGCTTATTGAGAGTTTAATTTTGAACTTTTCAAGAAAAGCATGTTAGAAAGAGACAGAATTACTGTTCAGTATATTTTGTTGTAAAGGAAAATAGTTTTCTGTAGATGCACTATCAATAAGATATTATATCTAGTTTTCATGAGTTCATACTCTTAGTATTTTGCTAATATAAGAAGGGAATGGAAAAGATCGAGAATGGGAACGAAAAGAGGCATTAGAAAAAGATAAGAGCTCTTTCGCAAGAAGGGATTGAAGTACATACGCTATGACAGAGAAGCATTATGAACCGACCACAGAAGGAAGCTGTATGAACTGACCACATCAAGGACGGTTGTTTTTACTTCCAGTCAGCGAAAATCACTTGTAAAAGTTTTACTTTCTCCTACACTATAGACATAGATGATTGTGTAGAGAAAGTATTGTAATATTTCAGAGAAAAGGAAACGAAAAAACAAATTATTTTTCGATAGAAAAACTCTTTTTGAGGGGTCCCTGATACCCCAAAAGTCGGTCATTCTTGTTCCTGTAAATAAATTCATCTAATACATTGTGCAGTTATAGTCCAGTTTTGTGGGTACTTGATACAAAAAAATGGTTTACGACAAAACGAGTGTCCGTCAGTCTGCATAACTGTTTGTGAACATCGCTGCTGTTCTGATCGTGTGCTAGATTTTACCAGAAATGATATTACTCGATCGATCTGACTGATGTCCCGGACCCCTTGAATATGGAACGGATATTTTATTTTTTGGAGGTATTTTACATGAAGACTCCACATTTTCAAAAAATTCTCAAAATTAGCTCCAATTTTTTTATCTGATAGAGCAATGTTAGCTTATAAAAATGGCCCAAATTCAAAAAAACTAGAGGCAATTTATAAAACATTGTTACCAAAATGACTCCAAATATTTTTTTCTTCGAAGAGAGCAAGGGACGTTTAAAAATGACACAGGTCTCATTTTCGCCGAACTCTCTGAATTTTCGAATATGATGTTGTAGCACCACTAATTTCTTTCGTGTTTTGTTGTTCCAAACTCTGAATCAAAATATTTCGGTGGGAGAAATATAAATAATTGTTTTTTGTTCATGTTTACTATTCCGACCATTGACTTCACATTCCAACATCTGATTCATTGAACGGAAGCATCGTAAATAAAAATGAGTTCATAGCAGAAATGGGTTTATTACATCCAACTCTTAGCAGATGGTGCACAAACACATCAAATCCATCATTTACTATAATGCAAACATTGGGAGATATTTTAACGTGAGCGCGGAACGAGCCATTAGTAGGTCTTCAGTTATTTTTCTTCTGAATGTTCCCTGTGCAGTAATTTGTGGTACTCGTACTACTCTCTAGGAGAAATCAATACCTCGCAGATGACAGTATTGTTATGAAAATGGATAGAGAACCTTTTGCCAGAAGTTATGCAAAGAAGAGGGAAACATTCTTCCGAATATAGAAGAAGTTGTACACTATTCGGGAATGATAACGCGTAGTGAACGCAAACAGGAATTTCATTGTGAACTAGGTTTTGGAAATGAAATAATTGATTCCAGTAAATGAGAGGCAATCAATTTATTAGAAGACTTTCTTTTCTATTGAGACTTTAACGTGAGATATTTCAAGGGTAATCAAGGTAGTACCACTGAATACTTAAAACATTCTTTGTAACGTTGATTATGATTTACCAAGCGCATGTCAAAGTATGAAAGGAATGAAATTCATTAATGGGATTCGAAACGATAAATCCTCTTTGAATCTTGATCATAATAAAAATGCACAATTACTAGATGAAAAATATTACATAGATAGGAAAGAGGAGAAAAAAAGGAAGATATTAAAACTTTTCTGCGAATACACAGTCGAACAATAATCCGTCTTGTAAATAAATATAGATACATTTATTTTCATCGTGTAGAAATTTCTAAAATCCAAAATATATTGGCTGCAAAAATTATGTATCATAAAAATATTTGAGTACAAATAATGTAGTAGATTGATGTCCCGCATTAACAATGAACTATTCAAGTGCTACGTAATCCTCAGTTTAGGCTCGTTATGAAAATCCTTGTGTTAATTATATTTCTTTTAGTTTTCCAAAAAATAGTGCAATTTGACTTAAGTTGTTGCAGTCAGCGCTTCAAATATTTAAATACTGTGAGAATTGAATAATAAAATAAACTTACTCATTTGCCCACACAAAGGCCAACACTAACAGTTTGCAAAAAAAGTTCATAGCACCGAAATTTTATTCAGGCACTATCAAATAATAATTGTCTGTTATTTCCTCTACTAGCACTACGGGGATGGGAGTTTTCTCCAAGGACGTATGTATGTATGTAAACGACGCGGGTTTCTTCGTATTCATAAGAAGGAAATAGCGCAACCTTATCTGTGACGTCCAGTTTTACTCACAGCATAATATAGAAAAATCAGCCGAAGCCAGAATCGATCGGGACCAAAAAGTATTCCGATTTAGGGAGAATTCCACTTTATGCAGGGGTCTATTTTAGGACACTTTTTATATTGATATTTCCACCCTGAAACTGGTAAAGTACATGACATTATTGTAATTATAAAAATATAAACATATAACGCATTTATGGAAGAAATCACCGATATATTAATATTAAACATTTCTCACAATTGAGAAGAAAATCTTCACAACTTGTGCACTAAAATTTTTATTTTTTCCAATATTAATATACACTTTTTTTTTGCTTTTTGGTTTCCCACTTACTAACACCTTTTCTATTAAGTTTTCTGGAGTTAAAAACTGTAATATTTAGAGTTTTATTTTTTTCAACCGTGGTGAAACTGGTTGTGAAAAGATATACACCACCTCACTCTCTAGTGGCTGAAGCCGGATCACTTGCCCTCTCTTCAACGCGCTATGCATCCCAGTCCAGAGGACTACGTAGGCCCTATGTTCTTCGCAGGGCCTTGACCAATGCTGCACTGGTCAAGGGGTCGTTATTCTCAACGCCGGGCAGAGCGATGTGTGAACAGAAGTCTATACCGTACAAATTCTCACGCTCCGAGAGTCGGAGTTCCCTTACCCTACCGCATACGCCTTGAGAGACAAGCGACCCCAAGGTCGAGTTCTACGCTGACAGCTGAAGCACCACACCTTCACTGTCCGTTTGCCACGACTGTCACTGTCCGCCTCAAACGCGTATCACAGGGCCAGAGAAATTAAAACAGACTTGCAGATGCATTTACTTCATTAAGAGACTCTCGCGACTCTCTGCCAATTGCATTAAGTTCACAGAATTCCTGTTTTATTCGGTTTTCTTTCGCTGCAAGGCATTAAAAACCCTTCCGTTTCCGCGTTGGACAGGTTCCGCTTTATGCTATGTAAATATACCATTTAACTTCTCGGGTCGGATAAATTTTCCGGTTCAGGCAGGTATCCGTCTTGTACCGGTACCTGTTTAGACAGATTTTACTGGCCTTCAAATCTGAGATATTTTGTAATTTCAATAAGCATATCTCGGGACATTTGTGAGTTCAGAAACTGTCTCAATTTGTTTAGTCGACCTGCTGCATTGAGGGTATTTACGATCATCGAATACGTAAAATAATGGAAAATGTATTTTAGTTGCATTGTTAATTTTTTATCTGTAATTTGTATTCGACATTTTGGCATAACAATGAAGTCATAACATATCTATTATGTTAGTATAATACATTGTAAAGGAAAGTTGGTAGGATTAAAATTACACTCACGTTCTTTTATTACATATTACACATACACCATGTAAATTACCGATACGTAACTGTTCACGCGATTTGGCATGATTTGCGCGATTTAAATTATGAATTATATCAAGAAGTGTGAACCCATTTCGCGGTAGTGTATTCGATCAATAAAACAAAAATATCATTTTGACATATGCCGTTCTAGTGTAAACTCGAAGAGATTTCTTGTTGTATTATATTTTGAGAAGTTCAAGGAATTACCGTGTTGCGTACCAATTAAAACGCAAGAACATTATTTTATGTATCGTTGTGATCTATATAGGTAAATAGTGCATTTGGTTTCCTATTATAATTATGAAGTAAAATATTTCGAAGGGAGTATATTATCAGCCACTACGATTCATTGATAAGTCTAATGCCAGATAGTGTGAGAACGCAGTTGAACAAAGTTATTCATGAAAGAAATGAAGAATGAAAGAAATTTTCAACACGTAATAATAGTTTTAAACGTTTACAGCGTCAGCAGCGCCACATCCAACTAGTGGATATATAATTGGGTAAAAGCAGATGTACTAACAACAACACATTTCAAGAAAAATGATTTTTTTTTAATGACAGCAGCGTTTTATTGGCCCGGGTACGGAGAATAATGTATCACGAGCGTTCACATCAAGAGACTGCGCGTACTCTTTCCAGCACGGTGGTACAAAATATGTACCACTGTGTGCAACGCAACGGCCGCACGGTGGTACAAAATTTCAACCATCATTTCTTCTCCTTATGTGTTTCATGGTAGGATAATTTATGAACCACCGCTAAAGATTGCAGAAAATGGTTCCCAAAACACCGGAAGGTGTAGGCACACGATAAATGCCTGCAGAACACCATAGTAACATTTTTTTACAAAACCTACAAGACGTTCTTTTTTGTCAGCTATTGGTGTGAGTCAAGATCCGAGGTGTGCAACCAGTGCACAGCATTTCTCAAAAGCCCCGTGCTTGAAAGAGTTAAAGGGCCGAGAGGGGCGGTAGATGCGACGGCGTTGGCGGGGCAGGCCCGACGGCCGCTCCGAGTCGACGGTTTTACCCTCCGAGGTGACGAGAGCTCTTCCGTGTCCGCAGACGCACAGCGACCAGATGCCGTTCCGGTGCGACTTCTGCAGCCGGCTGTTCAAGCACAAGCGCAGCCGCGACCGCCACATCAAGCTGCACACGGGCGACAAGAAGTACCGCTGCGCGCACTGCGAGGCCGCCTTCTCGCGCAGGTGAGCCACGACGACGAGTCCCACGCGGAAATGGGGGTAAGGCAGTTTGTGCACGGCGCAGCGTATAGCAATCGACTCAAATCTCGATCTTTTGCGCATGCGCAAAGGTGCCGAGAACCTCGAACAGCGCACGCGCAGAAGATTGATAGCTTTCGATTGCTTTGACGTTAGAGGGTGCAAAAACTCCCCATTCTGCGCGGCATGGCGTGTAGCAATCGACTGCAATCTCGATCTTTTGCGCATGCGCACATGCACAAAGGTGCCGCGACTCTCGTACTGCGCATGCGCAGGAGGCAGATATTGCTGTCTATTGCTACATCGCTTCGCCGTGTAAAAAAAACTCCCTATACTCAGATTTAAATGTGGAGTCCCTTCAAGGTCACGAGCTGGACGGAGAAGAGAACAGTGTCATCCAGTCGGGAACTTCGTTACGACTTAAATTTTTTGGGACCGGAGCTCCCAATTGGATGAAAGTGCCCCCCCTTTCCATCCATCTCGTGGCTTTGAAGAGGCATTACATTTAAATCGGAATATATTTATCTTCACGCAATTTACTTGCTTCATTTTGACGAACGATTCCAGAGATTTATTTTTCGGTTGAATTATAGTGACTTTCGTCGTTCTGTCAGCTGGAACGCGTTTTTCCCCTTGCGTCCAGAACCAAAAATATAATTCCTAACAAAGCTTTCGAATGGATAACCGCGTCAAGCGTGCCAATTCACTATAATTAAATCGAGATTAGCGAATGTGCGCATGCGTAGGGTTGTTTCTGGGATTCCAGAGGTTACTCTGCGCATCTGCTAAAACTCCGGAATTGTTTGTCAAGAGTAAGTGTTCCATCGGAGATTTTGTAAGAAAATGAGCCGAATTCAACTGACCATAACATTTTCAATTTTCATGTTAATGGATGAATTCACCCCCATTCCACAGCCACCGTGTGTTCAAGTGGACATACGCTATTTTAATATAAAAAATTGCCGTGTTCAGGCGCACGATTACATTACTTACTCTTCATACGAAGTACTTCGTAAGACGAGAAAATAAAATGCAATGGATTTAAAAGCTTGCTTTGAACTTCATTTACTGAAATGCATTAATCCTGTTAATCGGCGATAAAAGTATGCGGGAGTTTTGTAATTAAAAAAAAGTGGCTGAGTGGGTAAAAATGTATGTTATGATCACTTGAAATTGGCACTTTTTTTATATACATTTTTAGGTGTGAATTGTATTTCTTGTTTTGCTTGTTTGTTATTGATCTTTTAGAAGTTTATTTTATCCTGATCCTTTTACCCTCTTAGGTCATGCTGAACGCTTGCCAGCATTTATAGATTTCCCTATTTGTGTCATAATTGCTGAAATATGCTTCCTATTTTAGAACAATATAAACCTTTTTTGGATTATTCTATCTTGCGTTTACCCATGTAAAGGCCCTGGACGTGTTCAATTGCATAACATTGGTTCCTAATTTTTACCGTCTGTTCTAGTGCGTTTATCCTAGCCTTTCAGACACTCTTTCATACCTTCAATATTATTCCAGTTAATGTATGTTATCAGTGTTTTCAAGCGATGATCAGATCTCAACGCTGGTAGTTTTCTATTGGAGCAATCTTGAAAAATGACATTAAGTTTCTTTATTTGAAGGAAGTGAGCAAAGACTTCACAAAGACGAATTCTGGAGTTCTCAAATTTCGTCATTGTGTCACCTGAGTGGTACAAATTCTTCTAGAATGCCGGCGAACAATAAGTCTAATTGAACTATCTATCCAGTCATTTATGTATAGTTAAATCAAGATGTACTCTGTTATAACTCGAAACAATAGATAAACCTCCCTTCGACACTGCCTTAACGGTAGATGACGTATGATATAAGTCTCAAAAATGCATTCTCATTATGCTCCGATCCCTTACACCAGTTTCAAATTACAATTCTTGACAGCCTGACGTGATTTTTCGACAAACAGTCTGAATCATATTTGACACTGTCTACTGTAATTCGCTTCTAAAACTAAATGTATTTCTTGCATCATGTAGATGTTTCATTTAAATGGAAAACATTTTGCTATTGCAGAACGTCAAAAGATCAGTTGCTCATTTTCACGGATAAAAACCATACTTCCAGGATTTTATGTATTGTCATATATTCCATTATGTACATAATAATAAATAATGAAGTATTAGTAAGTTTGAGCATAAAATTGGCCAATAACACAAATTTACGACACAGTATAATCATCTCGAGTGTGGAAAATACTAGTGTCTGCTTCCAAAAAAATTACAGTTCATGCGCAGACAGGTCCGTAAACAATAGCAAATTCCCACAAGGTAGGTGACAGAGAAACAGAAACTGATGTGTGTTCAGCGTTCGCTAACCCATTTCAAAATATTTGCGTGAGGTAAACAGAGCAAGTCTCTCAGTTTGCGCACCTGCGCGAGTGGACTTCTGGTCTGAAAACGTGATCCGGTGAATTTGCAGGTCTTCGTTTACTGGGAACTGATGAGATGTCTCACATAAACTGGAAATTTGGGAAAGATCCGCACACGGTCATGCGCTTGCCATCTAACACATTTTCTGAACCTCACCCGTAACTCGTAATTGTTTCGCAATAATATTAAACTCGTCTTAGATTAATTACCAAAAAAGTTAAGTATTTAAAATTATAACCCTTATTTTTATCTTCAGAAAATTTGCTAATCATTTTAGGTGAAATGGGTTTAAAGATGTTTATAATTCTTAAACTTTCGGTCTATATTTCACAAAACTGTTTGTAAATTCTCACTCCTCATGGTCAATTAATAATTATTTACAATCTGTGGATGTGTGTGTGATCATATGAGGACCTCGAGTAATGTTAAATTTCTCTCTGAACGTAAAATTCTTGAAACAAATTTTTATTATTAAAATATATTTGTGACTCAGTAACAAGGTCACAACTTGGTTCTCTTTACGTGTGCGGAACATATGTCCGAGCCTAAATGTTTCCAAAACGTGAAGTATCCACAAGGTGGTGACAATTATATTCTTTGATTATTGTTCCAATTCATTTTTTGACAAAACTATTCTCGTCAAACATAAAGTAAGTGAAGGAAATATCACTGTCTTAAAATATTTTTCTCGTAGTTCATGAGTTCGTGTTGACTTTAAAAATTCGAATTGATACTCGAGAAAGTCCTTAGCTCAAGCCTTTCGATAGCAACTTAATCATTATGACTTATATTAAGTCTTCTATTATTTCCTCATAATTCGTCCTAGAAGTATTTTAAAAAATCGATTCTAGTTTCTTAAGATGCTTGCTACGGGAATTCAAACCCAGTTCAACCTACAGTGATATCAGTAGATGACTACCTAAGTCAGATTTTGTCATTGGTCCAGTGAGTGTAGTGCGAGTCATATTCTGGGTGGCAGTGCCCCTCTACTGAAACAAGAGATCCGGAGCTGACCTAAAAGTTGCCTTACGGAATAAAAACATGTCCTCAAAGGGACTCTATCCCTTCTTGAATGATTTTCCAATTTGATAGATTGTAGTATTTGTAATGAGATTTGTGTAAGGAGGAAGACACAATGATGCGGAAAGAAATACTGTGCGCTGTCACTTCGTTAAGGTACTGCACTAACATTGGTCTGATTTGATCGGAGAAACCAAGGAAAGTTAACGATCAGTAAAGCTGGCCGCTAGAATTACCCTGCAGTTTGCGGGTTATTGCGCTTCCGCGAACGGGGAATGAGGAACTCCGCAGCACTCGAGGGTTGTGGAGAGTCGTGTCCGTCGCGGAGAACGAATCTTCTGGGAAGCGCTGTCCTCATTAGTCGGGGACGGGAGATTGCCCTATCTTCTGCGTCAACGACGGGAAGGTCCTAAGATTTGAGTTTCAGGAGTGGTAGATTTTTCAAAAAACGAAGCACAATAAAAAGGGGGAGGATTCAAGCGCTGACTGGAGTTAAATCGTGTTGCTTTCTCTGGTCGGCAGCTTTTCTTCGTTTCTCCCATCCGAGTCAGGCGATTGCCGTAGCAGTCCGTTAACAACCATATTCGATTTTTCCTTCGTTATCCTTGTCTCCTCCTTTCTCTTTATACTCGTACGCACTACACTGATTCACATGACGGTTCAGACTAGAGCAAAAGTGTTTATCCCGCCTGGAGTGGTGTTCCACCAGCGGAAATACCTGAAAGAGAGAAATCTGGAAGGCAATATGTAGGTCGGTGTCGTATCGAACGTTCCATTGGGAATTAACCCCTCCACCTCCCGGGATATAACATGCACTACTCTTACATCCTTAGCACTTGACATGCCTGGAAACTCAAAACAAGTCATAAGGGCGAGTTACTTTTCCCATCCGCCACCGTCGCCTTCGCTGTTGCAGCGACCATCTCAAAATCCACATGAAGACGCACGACACGCAGAAGCCCTTCCAGTGCGCGGTGTGCAACCGCGGGTACAACACGGCGGCGGCGCTCACGTCGCACATGCAGAGCCACAAGAAGGAGGGCGGCGGCGGGGGCGGCGGCAGCGGGGGCGGCAGCGGCGGCGGTAGCAGCGCGCACAGCTCGCCTTCGCCACACGGCTTCCGCTGTCTCGTGTGCGGCGCCGCCTTTCGACGCGCCGAGGAGCTGCAGGTGCGTCTCACGTCCCATGTTCCACGTCTTACGTCCCACGCACCACGTTTCGCGAACTACGTTTCACGTATCACGTCACACGTATCACGTCCCACGTATCACGTCCCACGTATCACGTCCCACGTATCACGTCCCACGTATCACGTCCCACGTTCTACGCACCGCGCATCTCGTCCCTCGCAACTCGTCTCACTATCACGTCCAACTTATCACGTCCCACGGTCCACACCACGGCCCTGAAGCGTATAAAGCCTTACTGTTGGACGCCTTACTGTTGCCCTCCCGTTGGACGCAATGGTCTGAGTGTGTGGGTGGGCGTGGTCGCAGGCGCACGCGCTGGCGCAGCACGCTGCCGTGGGACCGCCCGCCTCGCTCGACGGCCTCCTCCAGGGCCTGGGACTGGGTCTGGGCCTCCTGCCTGCGCTGCCCAAGCTGGCCTGCATCTACTGCACCAAGGACTCCTTCACCTCCATGGAGGCTCTGCAGCTGCACGTGCAGGTAACCCATAAGGACACCTACACACGAGCCTTGCGTTGACGTGCGTAAAGTAACGCGCGTCGTAGAATAACATTGTATCTTGTGCGAAACGGTACACGAGCACTTTGGCCGTTCCGCCTAAGATTCTGCGTTAGTCTACAATGCGCGTTACTGATCGCGAGTCGACGCAACGCTCGTGTGACACAGGCCTTAAGCACAAATTTCTTCTCGAGTTGCGCCATGCAGATAAAACTTGCGTATGCTCGTTCAGATGTGGGGTGAATAATTGATGGGGAAACTGGCTTCCAAGTACTGTGTTGGAACGCTGTTTTTTTATCAAATTTTGTTTTGCAATGAAGATAGTACAACGTTCAGCTGAGAGGCTCTTCGGATGATTGGCCGAGTAATTTTGTACCAGCAAAGTGTGAAGGGGATAACTTGCCACCTCCCTGATACTAAGGTTTTATAGAGAATGATTTTGGAAACAATCGTTAAAGGGCGATGACAAAGGTTTAGAAAAGAATACGGTAGGCGATGCAGGTAAATGTAAGAAATGTGCAGAGATATTACTATAAGAAGGGACCGCTTTAACAGCTACAGCTTGACTACTGCTAGCAAAATACCTGCAGGTAATGTCCATGTGCTCATTTTGTCAGTGCGTTTGTTTACAGTTAGCTCATGTGTAAATGGCTTCATCAATATCTCTTGCTACGCCATTGCCCTGCATGACGTTAATGTGGTTCCCAGCCTGTCAAAGTGGTCCCTTCTTAAAGTAACTCCTCTATATCTGTAGGAGCTCTGGATGTTGGAATAGAATGCGATGTCTGGTGACGACCTACGCTAGTTTATTCGTACGTCACGCTCCGACTCATTCCAAAACTTGTGGTAGACGAATGTGTTTCGTTGACATTTAGATTGATTAAGGATGTGGAAACTTCAGAAAATAATTAGTTGATATTTCATTAGTTAATTGATTTAGACTATTTTTAAAGATGCTTCATAAATATAGATTAATGCAATAATTTTCGTAAACTGTATTAGATTATGGAAGTTTAGAGGTGTTGTGAGTGCTGGGTTTCAGACATAGTTCTTTGCCAGTCCACTTAGAGTGCTGCAAGAGACTTAATTTCCCCCGATCAACGTTGAAGATGCACTTCCACCCTAAACTTGGTTTGAGGATGCAGGCGGGATATTTGACGTTCCCGGTTCGGAGTAGTCGATAGCGTAGATGGGAGTATACCGACTTCATCCCGTGAACAACGTTTCTTACGACTTTTTCTGTCACCGAAAAAGGCGTAGGCAAACTGCATCACATTGTGTTTTCTTTCTCCCTATAAAGATATAATTCTATGTTTACCGTGGTCTGCTTAGTATTATATTCATCGACTACAGTTGGTCCATTTCTTTCTGTTTTCATGAAACATTTGCATGTTCTTTTAGAGCACTGCCCCCACTCAAAGGTTTGTGGAAACAAATCTTCAAATCTCCTAACAAGAGCAGCTTCTTAACTCGCTGTCTTAATATGCATACACAGTTTCGAATACTAAGCCTTGTTCATCTGTGTTCGAGGTTCGCTCTGGACTGGTGCGAGAACATATGTTTTCTATTACTTATGAATGTAAACTCGACAAAGGGTAACAAATTGCTTCCAAATCACCAGATGAACGAAACGGGATGAAGTCGGGCTATGCCTTCTCAGGTAACGAAAAGTGAAAAAGGATTAGCTGGGAAGCAGGGGTGAGGAAAAACTGGGATACAGTCGGCAATTCCTGGCGGAGATTTCCCCGATGCCATGATCCGCCCACCGCCACGTGGAGTTAAAAGGAGCCCGGGCGTGCGCAGGCCATGCACCGAGCCATCCTGAACGGCGACGTGCGCGGGCTGGGCGGCGCGGGGGAGGCGCCGTCGCGGCACACGCCCCCGCAGCAGCCGCCCACGCCCACGCCCGCGGCCGCCGCCGCCCAGCCGCCGCCCTCGGCGCTGCCCCCGCCGCCGCAGCCGCAGCCGTCGCTCCTGCAGGCGCCCCCGGGCGGCGTGGCGGCGCCCGCGCCCTCGCCCGCGCTGCCCTGCGACCTGTGCACCATGCGCTTCTCGTCCACCCACGCGCTGCAGCGCCACGTGCAGACGGTGAGTCCTCGCGACCCCGCGCCCTCGCTCGGGCTCTCGTCCTCGCTCTCATCCTCAACCTTTCTATTGCTCTTGCCCTGGCGCACGCCCTAGCCCTCGCGCTCACTCTCACTTGCGCCCTCGCCCTCGCTCTCGTCCTCACTATCTCCTCGCTCTTGCTCTAGCCCTCGCTCTTGTTTAATCCCCTCGCCCTCGTCCTCGCTCTTGCTCTTGCTCTCGCTCTTGCTCTCGCTCTTGCTCTCGCTCTTGCTCTCGCTCTTGCTCTCGCTCTTGCTCTCGCCCTCGCCCTCGCCCTCGCTCTCGCACTCGCACTTGCTGTTGCCCTCGCTCTTACTTTTGCTCTCGCTCTTCCTCTTTCCCTCACCCTCGCTATTTCGTTTTTGCCCTCGCTCTTTCTTTCGTTTTTGCCCTCCGTTTTTCTCTCGCCTTCGGTCTTGCTCTCGCCTTCCCTCCCGTCCTTTCCCTAGCCCTTCAGTTTATAAACACTTCCTTCTATTCAGCTCTTAATTCAGTAAATGTTCTCGAATATTGTCTTCCTATTTTCTACAACTTTTTTTTGCACTTCATTTTTCATTCCTGTCAGTTAATGTTCTCCATCTTTATCCGATCAGACGTCGCATGTTTTACTTAAGTTTCATGACATAAATGTACTTTTCTCTGGGTCTGAGACTGGCGAGCCAAATGAAGGGCCCAAAAGGGAAGGTGAAAACTCGCATTTTGTGTTGAAATGATGGTAACACGGAATTTATTATAAGGCGGGAATTATTTTATTTACTACAGTTGCCTTTAGGTAGAGGTCGGGGATCTGGTTCCCTATTCAATCCTGGATAAAATTTACGTCACTTCATCTGGAATTTATGGTATCTAAAGGAGGGGCGAGATATGAGGTTTCCAAATTCCCATGCCTCTCCTCCCAACATTGCTACTCCTGCTCATCTAATTACTCTCTCTGCAATGTCCTACCTCTATAAAAAAGGAATAAAATTAGTAGGGGCTTATACTAATATTTATATAAATTACTTGATTTGTAATTTTCAGTAATGTACGTATAACGATTTGAACGTAATTATAAATATTCGTTTTATGTACAAAAAATACCAATTTTTTTCAAACTACTTTTCAATAATGAACATTTGCAATTTAAAGAGAATGAGGTAATAGACGGCTGAAGTTGAGAGTTCGATGACCCTTCCTCTGGCCTCCCCACCACTCCGCCCCACCCGTCGCCCTCCGCGCTCGGAGCCCCGAAGTAATGCTTCCTCAGATTAGACACAGTCCACGGCGCGATCACAATGCCACATTTTGCGTGTAATAAGCGTAGGAATTGCGTTGTTTCTGCCCCATTTTGTAGACACGGTGTTTCAAACGATAATTCCTCTGCTTGCTCATTTATGTAGATGAAGAAAGGGAATCTTAAAAAGAATTACCAGAAATGTTTACCAGTCTGTAAATCAAACAGAAACTAGCTCTTGTAAGAATTACGGCTTATTGCTACAGTGAATAAATCTCAGTTTAAAAAGTTTCTTTACATATTTTAAACTAATTTATTACAATCGTAGAGAATCTACATATTGTAACATCTTTATCAACCAAAAAATGATTTCATATAAGCAGATGAATTGATTTATGAAGTTTTCAGAGTTGTCCGGAAGGCCGAGATCGTTAAGGCAATAGTGTCGTAGCGATCTCTGAATGTAAAATCGCCGGTTCCGAGACCTACCTCGGGCATGGTTGTATTTGGGTTCGTCCTTTCACCCCCCATCATTACCATATCATGTCATCTTGACAGTTACCTTAACGTTCAATGCTATAGTGGTCGCTAATGACCTAGATGTTGATGCAACCTTAAATAGAAAAAGTTTACAGAGTTGATAGGACGTAGTCCAATGAGAAATATTTTCGAGACGTCGGGTCGGCAGCTCAGGCACATATCACCAGTAGCGCACAACAGTGGTGGCCGACGAAAAGTGTGCGGGTTTAGTCATTAGTCAGGGATTCGCGAGCCCCCCCCCCCCACGAGTTTTCTGTGCCACCAAATACGCCGCCCCTGGTGGCGTCTCCTTCAATTGCAGATATCATCAGTGAATGACAAAACTTTTCCCTTTGGACCACGATCTCAAAACATAAATATGTAATAATAATAATAATAATAATAATAATAATAATAATCATAATAATAATAATAATAATAATTAAGTGTCCGAGACCCCACACTCATATTACGCTTACTTTTTTAAATAGTCGTTAAATAATCGCAGCTAGGAAAATTCTAAATTACTCATCATTGATCTAATACTAGTTGAAATAAGGGGAAAGAGGATAACTGAACTCCCTCCAAATTAATTAAAACATTTTTATCAAAACTATTTTAGAAGTAAAAGTTTTAGTAAGTAGTCCGCAATATATTTCACCATTGTGAACATGGATCCAGTACTTCTATTGCCCAGAATGATTGTGTTTTACGAGTAATAAGTTTTTTGAATTTGCTGAGTTGCGATGCAATTTCACGGTAGTTGAAGGAGAATCATCTGTAATCGACCAAGGAACCCATGAGACCAGCAAAGGGTGTTCTTCTTTCAGAAGGAAATGAAACGTCGTTCTTGTTCGCAGAAAGCTGAATCGCAGTACCAGTTTTTTTCTGGTCCGCAGCTAACAGAATAAGCAATTAAATTGTGAAAATTGTCCTAATACGTGTTTTGTTCTAGAGATAAAAATTAACAGCAAACGTAACAAATTAAATTTGGTTAAAGTTGCAAAATGGCAACTAATACTGGGAGTGGTTGCTTAAATAGCAGGACTGTATTTTTATCACATACTTTGTTATTTTGATGAACAGCGAAACTAATATCTTCTATTCTTCATAGACTGTTATCGGAGGTGTCAACCAATGTGAACAAAAATGTCAGATCGGTTTTGGATCGAATCGATCAAATCGACATTTCACCTCTAAAGATCGGGGTTCAAATCCCCGTCGATGAATTTGGAATGGTGGGCAAAGCGAGTTCGAGGCAGCCTTTTTTCGGGGTGCTCCAATTCCATCTGCTTGCCATTTCCCATAGCTCCATTTCATTAATCATAATATCATTAAGGCTGCCTAATTTGGGTGCCACAGCACATTCAGGATTAAGAGATATTGAATATGGATTTGAGAGACATTGTGATTGAGGATATTGTAATTAGTCATATATGATGTGATGTGCAAGAAATAAAGTATATAATAGCCAACGAACAATAAATACGCTGGTTTAATTTCGGAAAATTTCGTGATCCCTGGCATTAGTAACTTGTATAAAAGCAACGTACAGTGGGAGAGGGAAATTTGTGTGAAGAAGGTCAGTTCCTATTTATTACATTGCCAGAGGTATAATTACAAGTTTAGCAAACATTGAAAGTGAGTACGAAATTAATTTTTGTGAGCAAATCTCTCTCAAAGCTTTTATGAGATGAGCTTTTGGTTGTTTATTTCCTTAGAAATTGTTGTAGGAATTGCGTTGTACCTGTCCTATTTTGTACACACGGTGTTTCAAACGATAATTCATTTACTTGCTCGTTTACGAAAATGAATGCCTTTTGCATATACACATTTCCTACCTTTCCAATAACATAAGTCGGAACTACATTTCAAGAAGAAACTCTTGAAATAATATCGTATGTGTGTACTTGGCGCGACAACCGCCCGTGACAACCGCGGCCCGTGAACGGGCTCAGGCCTTCCGGCAACGTCCCTGGCTCGCGGCCATGGGTTAAGGGAGTACTTGTGGTTAACACGTAGACATCCCCACGCCGTATTCCGGTCATCTCAAGCTGTGAAGTGAATTTTCTCATCGTCACACAGCAACATATTCTGGGATTTTCCAAGGAAAACTCTAATACTGTAATCTTGCCTGTCCGACAATGGAACGCGGGGCCGCGTTGTGGAAAACGAGCACGTTGACTAAGAGCTAGCCAGAACGCTAAAATAATATCGGGACTACTGATTTATAGAGTTTTTATAGATACTAACATATACTCACTACGCAAAAACAGTGTTTAAGATCGTATATTGTTCAGAATTATACCTTCCGGTTCATTGAAAAAAAAAGATCATAGAAGAAATCTTAAATTGCCCATAAAAAGAGCGGAGTCGTTTTGTCCATATTTTGTGGAATACAGAAGCATTACAGAATGTCAAATACGCATATTGAGTGTATGAAATAAACTTAAGTTTTACACTGATTGTTTTTAAAACCTACAATATTTAAAACACTAAGGTTTTGTTGAGAAAGAGATTTAAGCTTTCTACTCAATCACTTTTCGAGATTTTTTTTTTCTTTAAATGAAAGGTAGTGGACCTCAGAAGAGATATAACTTGCTCTTATTTACTGGTTTTAAAATAAAAATAAACAATTTTAACAATATATCAAAATTAATAGAATATACGCTTATCTGCCGTCATTTGCCCTTTGTCATTTTCATGATAAACTGCAATACAATAGTACTTTAATAATTTAATTCATGACCAACTGCAATACAATAATACTTGTTCTTTATATGTTATCTTTGAATCACGAGATTTTAGTCGGCAGTTTTATTAAGTTCAAATATTAACTGTTTTTAAATGCAAATATTGGTGAGAACAAGACTTAATTTCTGGCAGAACGTGGCGGCTTTCGGAAATAATTATTAAATAATGATGTATGTATGTATGTATATGTATATGTATATATATATATATATATATATATATATATATATATAGGTATTAAGTTAATAATTAATTTAGAGCGCGTTCCGGGGCCTTAGATTTTACAAATCAAGAGTACTGGCTAAGTGTATAGAAATGCAATGTCCAGTCATCATGTCACGCGTCCTTTTATCAAAAATTTCATTGATTAGAGTTACACGTGATAAATTTGTAATTATCGTGAATAGCGGGACTTATCATAAATATCTTTTTTGTTACAACATACATGTGCAGAACTTGGAAAATATAACACTTTTCAAACTACCCTCCACTCATACAATTTGTAAGATTTTTCGATTTTCCATTCAAGCGGTACGTATGTAGTAGTGCTTTTCTGCGAACTACGTTTTCACAGCTCTTCGTTTTGTGCGAAGCAATCGCAGGGGTTCAACTAGTGTTTCTTTAACCGTCTTAAATGCCAGCAGAAGAGTGGAGCACGCGGGTAAAGTGACGGGGGGAATTAACATGTAGCAGCTTTCCGTGGTCGTCACGCATTGATTGGCGCGGGCGCGGAAGATAGGGAACTGCGCGAGGGGTGACCGCGCCCCCTCTCCCCCACCCTCGGCGCGCGGCGCCCCGCCGGGAGCTCCTCCCGCAGCCTTTCACGCTTCCCCCTCCGCCCTCAACCCCCAACCACCCCTCCCCCTCCCGGCGGCACGCGCCGCGCCGCGCCCTTCCCACCCTCCAGGAAGCCACGAGACACACGGGGTGGGCGGGACGGAATTCCATGTAGTTATTTACGAAATGAGTATCCTAAGACATCCGGTTATAATACGAGGTTGGAGAATTATCGAATGAGTCTTTTATATTAGTATGAAAACTAATCGAGTGTTGTAAAATTGTTACATTACGGATACTGTACGTGTTACACACTTCGTAGGCCTACAGATTTCAGTGAACTATAATTGGTAATATTTTACTATTTATTCTTAGGTTCATTTGTCCTTCTCCTTCTTCTTCTCCTTCTTCTTCTCCTTCTTCTTTTCCTTCTTCTTCTCCTTCTTCTTCTCCTTCTTCTTCTCCTTCTTCTTCTCCTTCTTCTTCTCCTTCTTCTCCTTCTTCTTCTCCTTCTTTTTCTTCTTCTTCTTCTTCTTCTTCTTCTTCTTCTTCACGTTGATTTCTTCTTTTCCATTTCATCATCACCTTTTTGACTTCGTGTTTATCATCATCTTTTCAAGTTATTCTTTTTCTGTTCATCACTTTTTCAATTCATTTTCACATTCTCGAATTCTTTAATTTTTTATTTAATTTCATGTTGTTCTTATTATTCATTTTCTTCTTCTTGTTATTATTATTATTATTATTATTATTATTATTATTATTATTATTATTATTATTATTATTATTATGTACCCTACACCATCTGTTTCTCTTTTTGTTTATCCTCCTCGTTCTCCTTTTCTTTTGTTTGCGCCTTTCTTTTCGTTCTGTTCCTTCTACATTTTTTTTCGTCCAGTCCCTTCTCCCTTTCCTCGTCTTCCTCCCTCTTTCTTTTTCTCATCCTTTCTCATTCTTCTACACTTACATCCACTGTATACATTTAGTCATCTAAATATAAATGACGTATTGAGAAATGCTTCGTCAATAAACGTCAGCACCCCGGGCAACGTGCTCACCCGTGTGAGTGTCCCCGCAGGTGCACGCGCTGGACCTGGGCGCGCGCTTCTGCGGCGACTGCGTGCTGCCGCTGGCGTCTGCGGCGCAGCTGGCGGAGCACCGCGCGCGTGCGCACGCGCACGCCCTCCCGCACGCGCACGCGGAGCAGCTGCGCCCCACGGACCTCAGCAAGAAGGCATCGTCCGCCTCCTCCTCCTCTTCTTCGTCTTCTTCGTCTGCGGCGGGGTGACGGCGGGCGGGCGGCTGCACGTCGGTGGGCGGGGGGCAGCGCGGGCGCGGCCCGCTCTCGTCGCAGACAGTCTTCCTGCACAGCGCCTCGGCCCGGCCGCCTCCCCCCCGCCCCCCGTTTGAACGGGCGGGCGCGCACACGCATAGCACGTCGCCGCCCCGCCGCACCGCCGCCCGGCCGCCCAGCCGCCGCCGCGGCGCGCCTCCCGCGCCCCGCCCGCGCTGCAGGTGGAACGCGCGTGCAGCGGCTCCATGTCCGAGACAGCGTCTTCGCGCAGACGACGCACGGCGCGGCAGCGGTGCGCTCTTGGCCTGCGGGCTGCCCTCCGCCCCGGCGCCGCCCCAGCCCTGCCTGCCGCGCCCGCGTATGCTGCTGCAGGTGCGCGAAGAACTGCTCCTCCGTCCCAGGCACAGCCGGCCTTGGCACTGCGATGCACACTGCCGACACCACTTGACGTGTGAGCTTTGTGCTCGGCCGCACCGCGCTGGCGGCACAGCTGTCGCAGGATGTTGCACTTCGTGCTTGCCGCCGCCGCCGGCGCCGGCCGAGTCCGTCTTCATGTAGGTTCTCCAGACTCGCCTGGTGCGCCGCTGCATGCTTTGCAGTAGGCGCAGTGCAGGCTGACGGCGCACGAGCCGCGCCGCCGCCCTTGCCGGCGCCCGCCGCCGAAACGTTTGCCGGCTGCGCCGCCGCCGCCGACTGACGCGACTTGCGCCGCCGAGGGGTCTGCGTCGGCGTTCACCGCGAAGGGCGCCTCCGAGGCGCCGCTGCCGCCCGGTCGCCGCCGCCCGCTTTGAGCGGCGCGTCCGACGGCAGCCCCTGGCGGAGATGAGCGGGCCGATTGCTCAGCACCTGCCACGCCAAAACGCATAATTCTATATTACTTAATTAATAATCATTGAATAACATTTAGATGTTGACGTTTATTGAAATTTATTAACAAATAAAGATGCGGACCATGGTTGGCCGAGGTGGCGTCGCAGCCGTGTGCAGACTCAGCGCCTCGTCTTAAGCAGTCGCGCGGTTTGAGTCCTGCCTTGTCGTATGCGTTGTTTGTGCCTTTTCTTTCGCGGTACTGTGCTGTGTGTGCTCGGTCGCGCCCTTTGAAGCTGCTGGCCACAGACCACTGAGCCCGCAATCAGCTGTCCTAGTGTAAAGGCGTAATATTAATGTTGCTGCTCCCCATGAGGGACAAGTGGTCCCGTCCGCGGATAGTCGAACATGCGACATCCCTGCCCCTGGAAAAAGACCAGGAAGCCCAAAAAAAATAGAGTACAGAATTGTAAAAAACAATTTATTTCCATTTTCGTTATCCGTTATGCGCACTCAGAGCCCTGCACTTCCCTCTGGCGAGTTCCTTAAGAGAGCTGCCACCATCGTCGTACGTGATCGCGCTTGTCGGCCACACTTTCTGGGTTCAAGGTAAAAGATATATGGTCGTTTTCGTTTTGCTTAATTACTATTTAACCGTGCGAAATGTGTACACAAGAGGAATTAATGTTCTTCAGGTCAGAAACAAACAGCGTTCCCCCTTCAAGCTAGTTTTTCTTTTATAGACTATTTTCATGGAATCTCTTTTCAGCAATCTTCTCAGGAACAACGGCGAAACGCTCCTCGTGATCGCCACAGTTTGCGCGAATTGCCGTGAATTTTTTTTCGACGCGGTGGGTCAAAGGATAGAGGGGTAGAGGGTGTAGGGCTATGAGTTTAGTAAGGGGAGAAGGGGACGACGAGGGCCGAGGATTAAGGAGCAAGGACTGCGATTGAGAGTATAGGGGTGAGGGGTGAGCTGGCCGCCAAAGGAGGCCGAGGGGGTTTTGAGTAAGGGGCATGAGAGGAAATAGGGCCATGAGGGGAAAGGGGTTCAAACAATGCCCGTGACATTTTCTGCCGACGGCACGGTATTTTTCATATTCCACACCGGAAGCTATGCGTATTCCAAATACAAGGTCCACTACGACAAAGTACGTACCGTGCCAGTCAAGAAACTGAATCTTAAACGTGCTGAGATCTTGCCCGCGGTGGAAAAGTCTTTGGGGACCTCCGAGAATAACAACCGTCGAGGCCCCAGGGCCGAATGCGTTACCTCGGGAGCTGCTGCGCCGCCTGCAGGTGCCTACTTTAAGTCCAGCAGGAACTCCACCGATTCGGAGCGCCTCCGCCTGCACCTAGCCCAGCGACCGGCAGCGGAAAACTGCACTTCTGGACGCGATGCGCGGCGAGGTGCAGGTTGCATCTCGAGCTTCGGCTGCCCGAGCGCTCAGCCCGGCAGAGAGGCAGCGGAAGGGCCTGCCGCGGGCTGCCGGCGCCTGCGGGCCGACGACGCGCCGCGCGCGGCGGCGCTCGCCGCGGCGGCGGCGCGGCGCCCGGGGGCGGCGCGCGAGAGCACGCGGCGAGGGCGCGTGGCGCGTGCGCCGCCGCAGCACGTGGACAGCGCGAAGTACCAGCCTGCGACGCCGGCCCAGACGGCGCAGCAGGCCGCGCAGGCCGCGGCACGCGTGCAGCCGGAAAACAGCGTGCACTCGCTGCTGTTCCTCACCGCGAAAGTAGCACCTACGGCAGGCAAACGCCGCTGTACAGATTTGACGGCGGTAGTGGTCTGAATGAAGCGACATGATGAGATATCAAGGGGCGAATAGTTCACGTATGAAGTAGTCAAGCTGGAATGAGTTTAAACTAATGAAACCCATATCAACGCGCACATGTGCATGCATTTTTTATGTACATCTAATTAAAAACAAAAAATTTTAATTCCAAGAAATATTAATGTATTATTTACTATAGAAAAGAAGTCGATGTCGAGCTGATGGCACAAGCCTACTTCCAGCTTCTAGACAATTTTTCGCCTAAGGAACGGTGCTGAAAGCGACTTACGCAATTGATTACTATAGGACTACAACTTTGTCTTACCCACAATGCATGTGCATTGCATTGAAGCTAAGGTCGCCTTCTGTCGGCTGCTCCATTATCAAAAACAGTACCGGGACCATCAAATTCAGCCACCGATCGGCGCCCACTGCGCGTGGAAAAGGAAAGCTTTCGTTAAACAATGCTCTGGGTGCGCAAGGGCATTGTACATGTTAACAGTTAAGCACAGTGACGAATGCCTAATGCGACGGCTGCTATTAAAAAACTGTTGTGATAAAGTGACCGCAGGGCGTGAATCAGCGTTCAGTGGCAGAATGCCCACCTAACAGTCCATTGTGGTGCTCGCGTGAATACCCCCATTTAAAACCAATGCTTTGCAATAGACGCTTCACTCGACACATGCAAAATTCTCCATAGCAAAGATGCTAAACGGTCGGAAATGTGTCTACCCGAACTCCAATGTTCACGTACGCGTGAGAGACGACCTATCTTAGCTCTCTCCTCATCTTCATCTTTACTTTAATTCACGCGACAATTAACTTTCGCGTCCTACAAATTGAAGTGACATTCACGAAGAAACACGCAGGAGTATATTTGAGGAGTAACACGTCGTCGAAACAGAATTCGCTCCCTGCGCACTTGTTTAGTAATACCGAAGCGCGTACCGGATGGCCACCTTGGAGTCGAACCACGTCCCGGCACAGCGCGGCAGCGGAAAGAGGTGGGTGCCCGCTGCATGTCCATGAGGTGCTTCTGCCACTCGTTTCTCGGCGCTGTGCGCGAAACAGCTTCATGCAGCTGGGCCAGCCGAACTCCGTGGAGGTGGCGCAGGACGTGGTCGGCCACATGCCGCCTCGCACGCGCCGGCCGTCCTCGAAGGGACGGCCCGCAGTGCGGGCACGCCGTGCGCGGCGGGCTCACCGCCCCCCGGCCGCCGGGCGCCGCCTCCGCCGGCGCCTGCGACCGTCGCCTCCGCCCCGCCCCCTCCCCCGGGCGGTGCTGCCGCGCACGGGCCGACTCGGCGCCGCCTCCTCCCAGGTGCGGACTTGAGACGGTCGCGCCGCGGAAGGACTCGAAAATCGGCCAGCGCGGGCGAGCCCGAACCTGGTTGCGACAGCAGCGCTGCCGGCCGAGCAGCGCGCTCGGCGCGCGCGCCCGCTTGAGCGTCGGGCAGGGGCCCCGATCGGGCCGTGCCGCGCGCAGGGCGCGGCGGGCGGGCACCGCCGCCGCCGGACGAAGAAGGCACCGAAGAAGAAGGAGGAGGGAGGCGGACGATGCCTCTTGCTGAGGTCCGTGGGGCGCAGCTGCTCCGCGTGCGCGTGACGGCGAGCGGCGTGCTGCCGTGCGCACGCGCGGCGGTGCTCCCGCCAGCTGCGCCGCAGACGCCAGCTGCAGCCACGCCAGTCGCCGCAGAAAGCGCGGCGCCCAGGTCCAGACGCGTGCACCCTGGGGGACACACACGGGTGGACGTTGCGCCCGGGGTGATGACGTTCATTGACGAAGCATTTCTCAATACGATCATTTATATTTAGATGACTAAATGTATTACAGCTGGACTGTAAGATGTAGAAGAATGAGGAAAGCGATGAAGAAAAAAGACAGAGGGAGGAAGACGACCAGAAAAGGGAGAAGGACTTGGACGACAAAAATGTCAGGAGGAACAGAACGAAAAGGAAAGGCGCCACAAACAAAAGAAAGAGCCGAGAACGCAGGACGGCATAAACAAAAAAGAGAAACAGATGGCTGTAGGGGTACATAATAAATAATCCAATAATAATTAATGTAATAAAAATAATAACAATAACCAAAGAAGAAGCCCATGAAATGAATAAGAACAACTCGAAATTAAATACAAAACATTCACAAGAATTCGAGCAATGTGAAAAATGAATTGAAAAAGTGAATCGAACCAGAAAAAGAATAACTTTGAAAAGATGATGATAAACACGAATCAAAACGGTGATGATGAAATGGAACAAAGAAGAAATCAACGTGAAGAAGGAAGAAGAAGAGAGGAGGAGAAGAAGAAGAAGTCGAGAAGAAGAAGCGAGAGCAACGAAAGGAGCGAAGAGAACGAGAAGGACCAATCTAAAACCTAAGCGCAATAAAATCAGTATAAAATAATTACCAATCGACTACATCCTCCCCCCCCCGGGTTGTGTGTGTCATTCATCCCCAACATCCACCCTCCTCCCACATATTAATTTCTCCAATAGCGATCTCTCGCGACCGCATGGCTATCCCCCCCCCTTCACCACCCACCCAACGGCGCCCTCTACACCCCACAACCTTCCCTCCCGCACTCATCCGCCTGCACATCCACTCACTCGCATTCACATCCCCTTCCAACGCCCCTTCACTCCTACAGCACCCCCATACCCACGACCGGCCCCCTCAAGCCCCCCTTCACTCACACTCCCTCCCGTCCCGCCGACCCCCAACCCGACCGCCTACTCACGACAAAACGCAACCACCTCGCTGTTACAATCTCACTCCCACACTGACTTCACCTGCGAAATCTGTCATGCCTAACGAAAGTGCTGTATGCCACGTACAGATATTCCGTAAATGTAAACAATTTACAACACTCTGATTCAGTTTTTTCATACTAAGCTATAAAGCAGTACCCTCATAATCTATTTACATTCTCATAATCCTCGTATCATAATAACCTCGGATGTCTTTAGCGAATACTCATTCCGTAAAATACCAACTACACTGGAACTCTCCTGTCCCGCCCCACCCTCGTGGTCTCGTGAGCTTCCTGGGAGGGTGGTTCGCAACGGCGGCGCCGGAGCGCGCGGCGCGTGCCGGCCGCGCCGACGGCTGGGAGCGAGATCGCTTGCGAGGGACAACTTGAGGGCACGGCACGGGACGCGTAAAAACGCATCCCGCCGCGTACATCTGAGCGAGCTCCCGCGCGGGCGCCGGCGAAACGCCAAAGCAAGGTGGCGGCGAGAAGAGAGGGGCGCGATCACACCACCCTCCGCCGCAGTCTCACCCTACAACCTCTTCCCCGCAGCACACCGCGCACCAATCTCCATGCCGTAGCCCCCACGCACCTAACACCAACCGGATAGGAAGCTCCTACCCAATGCTTACATTCACCCCCCTACACTAGCTAACACCCAGCCGTGAATCCCATATCCCTGCCCGAGGCCAACCCCACCCTTAGCGACGCGTTCAAAGAAACACTAGCCGACTATGCAACCCCTGACGCATTGCTTCGCACAAAAACGAAGAGCTGTGCCAAAACAACCGTTTAGTTCGCAAGAAAAGCTACTACCTACATACGTACCCGCTTAGAACTGGAAACATCCGCGAAAAATACATTACAAATTGTATGCAGCTGCGAGGGTAGTTTGAAAACGTGTCTCACACTTTTTCCAAGTTCTGCACTGTATGTTGTAGCAAAAACAGCACATTGTATGATTAAAGTCACCAGCCCTATTCACGATAATTGACCAATTTATCACGGCTGTAACTTCTAATCAATTGAAATTTTGAATACACCAAGCACGCTTGACAATCATTGACTAGACATTGCATCTTCTATCTACACTTAGCCAGCTACTCGCTTGATTTAAAATCGCGTAATGCCCTCGGACGACCGCGCTCTACAATGAATTATTTCACTTAATACCCGACTACACAACATTTTATATTACTACCTATAGCCTATATATCATAATATATATTATACAAAGATACTATATATAATAACTACACTATATATATATATACATCATACTACATACACGTATATCCACTATCACACAACTACCTACCACTATATATATATTACGTACATACACATATATCTCTCCTCTATTTAATAATTATTCTCCGGAAAGCCGCTCCACGTTCCCGCTGCCAGGAATATTAAGCTCTTGTCCTCACTAATATTTGCATTTAAAAACAGTTAATATTATTGAACTTAATAAAACTGCCGACTAAAATCTCGTGATTCAAAGATAACATATTAAAGAACAAGTATTATTGTATTTTGCAGTTGGTCATTGAATTAACATATTAAAGATTACTATGTGTATTGCACGTTTTATTCATTGAAAAATGGACAAATGGGCAAATGACGGCCAGATTAGAGCCGTACCCCTCTCTCCTCATCTCCCCCACACTACATTTTGAACTTCACTAATGGCGCTCTCGTTACGCGAACCACCTCTCGTTTCCATCTTCCTCCCATATTTTAATAACCAGCTCTACATTACAATCAAAGAGAGAAAGTTAATCTCTCTGAGGGTCCACCTAGCTTTCATTTAAAAGAAAAAAAAAAAATCTCGGAGAGAAAGTGAATTGAGTAGAAAAGCTTAAATTCCTCTTTTCTCAACAAAACCTTAGTTTGTTTTAAAATATTGGTAGGTTTTAAAAAAAAAAACCCAATCCAGTGTAAAACTTAAAGTTTATTTCATACCCAACTCTTCCAAATATGGCGTTATTTGGGGATAACATTTTTCTCTGTAATGATTTCCTGTTATTCCACCCCCCCCAAAAAATCTAATTTGGGGGGGGAAAACATTTCCTCCTCCTTTTTTTTTTGG